GTATACTGAGACAGAGGTCTGAGTCTGTATGTATACTGAGACAGAGGTCTGAGTCTTATGTATACTGAGACAGAGGTCTGAGTCTGTGTGTATACTGAGACAGAGGTCTGAGTCTGTATGTATACTGAGACAGAGGTCTGAGTCTGTATGTATACTGAGACAGAGGTCTGAGTCTGTGTGTATACTGAGACAGAGGTCTGAGTCTGTGTGTATACTGAGACAGAGGTCTGAGTCTGTATGTATACCGAGACAGAGGTCTGAGTCTGTATGTATACTGAGACAGAGGTCTGAGTCTGTATGTATACTGAGACAGAGAGGTCTGAGTCTGTATGTATACTGAGACAGAGGTCTGAGTCTGTATGTATACTGAGACACAGAGGTCTGAGTCTGTATGTATACTGAGACAGAGGTCTGAGGCTGTATGTATACTGAGACACAGAGGTCTGTCTGTGTGTATACTGAGACAGAGGTCTGAGTCTGTGTGTATACTGAGACAGAGGTCTGAGTCTGTATGTATACTGAGACAGAGGTCTGAGTCTGTATGTATACTGAGACAGAGGTCTGAGTCTGTATGTATACTGAGACAGAGGTCTGAGTCTGTATGTATACTGAGACACAGAGGTCTGTCTGTATGTATACTGAGACAGAGGTCTGAGTCTGTGTGTATACTGAGACACAGAGGTCTGAGTCTGTATGTATACTGAGACTGAGGTCTGAGCGGAGTGGAAGTCACATTTGTATCTTAGATCATAAATGTATGCGCATGTACCCACAGTGCATAAGTTCAAATGAATGTTTTTCATTCGTTCATTTTACAGTACTTATACTCATTAGTTTTCACCACTGCAGTGACACTGTGCAATGCAACAAACTGTAGCAGTATTAAATCAGACGGAGACACACTCTGCCGTGTATAAACAGGAGCTATACATAGCTTGTTGCTATAGCAGAAGGGGTCATAATTTCTAGAGCCCATGAATTCTTTGACCAAGTAAGGTCATCGATTCGGAAAACAAAGAAGAAAAGGTCAGAGGCTCGGACATAAAATGTGAATCCTTTATTATTGTAGGGACAGTGTGACGCGATTCATCAAGGCAAGTCAGCAATCTCTTTAAGGTCAACAACGTATGGGACAGGACCGCACAGGGCTGGCCTTCTGTGAAGACCAAAGAGATATTTGTTCTGTCATTTAATATTCCGGCTTTTCATACCAAACAAAGTGTGAAAACTGTTTGGCCCTTATTCTGGGCTGTTAGGGTTAGGGTTAGGAAAGGGATCCTTCATGGCCCAAACCATAGTGTTTCATAGCCCTGTGCGTCCATGGGGCTCAGGTGAAGAAGGTTAGAAACTACTGTCTCAACAGGAACACCACAGACCTGCTGTCAGTTTTGTTCCTTGTGAGACTTTAGTCAGGGAAACCACACACAGGGCTGTTTGTGTGAGCTCTTTCTGTTTTGGCTAAATGTTCTGACTTGGTTAAAAGCTGCTATCTTGTTTTAATTAAGTGAATTCTGGGTGTGATGAAAACTGTAATGTCCGAATAACGACAGATTATGTTAATAATAACCACTTACAAGACGAAAATCTTCTACACAGGCCTAAACCACAAAGACAATAATCAAGAGACAAGAAAGGTCTGTGTCTGCATGTACAGTATACTGAGACAAGAGAGGTCTTAGTCTGCATGTATACTGAGACAAGAGAGGTCTTAGTCTGCATGTATACTGAGACAAGAGAGGTCTTAGTGTGCATGTATACTGAGACAAGAGAGGTCTGAGTCTGCATGTATACTGAGACAACGGCACATTTATGGTAATATTAACTTCATCCGAGATAAAAATTAAATTGTTTCTTCACGAACCGGAACCACAGCAGACAGAATCTCAAAGGACTTTACGGCTTTACCCTTTGGCTCCTGCCTACGCTCTCTTCCTTCAGTAAACTTCACCCTAGACTGCCCCTTCTCCGCTCACCCCTCTGCCCCCGCACCCCTCTGCACCTTCTCCCTTCACCCCTCTGCCCCCGCACCCCTTTGCTCCTTCTCCCTTCACCCCTCTGCCCCCTCTCCGCTCACCTCTCTGCCCTCTCCCCTTCACCCCTCTGCCCCCTCTCCCTTCACCCCTCTGCCCTCTCTCCCTGTTCAAGGCCAAACACATTACTACAGCGAAACTGACCCCAAACCCTCCTTCCTTTATCTCCCGCAGCAGATAAGCATCACTGAGTCCACGTCGGTCCACAGCAGATGGAATGAGGCTTCAGCATTGGCCAATAGCCGCTAAAGTCCAGCAACAACACCATAAAGTCCTGACTTTGACATAAGCCGGCCGTATATGGACGCGGGGCGCATTCACAGACACTTGGCTCCTTCTGTTACACCCTTTGGATCCCTCATCGGTGGAAGCTGACATTTATTGTGTTCTTTTTGCTGCAGCCCCGAAAGGCAGGTTTAACAGACAGGCCAGTGCGTCTGCTGCAGGAGAAGGTCAACATTTTGGGGAATATTGCAAAGAGAAGGCTCTAATATTCAAAAAGCACATATATTGTAGCACTTTGAAAGAAATGTGAGACTTGCATTTTATGGTCACTGAGATGGAAAACGAGGGAGAATTCAAGCTATTTTAATCAATTGGGCTCAATGAGAGATCAAACAATATACTTTTTTTTTGGTTTTGATAAATATTGGCTATTGGCCCTAACCTCTCCCCATCCATCCCCCATGTTAACGGTAATTTTGCTTGCACTTTAGAGTAGCCCTCGCTAATCAACAGCGAGTTGAGTGGTATTTAGTGAACCCTAACCTTAACTCTAACCCACATGGGGAATTGTCAGTTAGTTTGATGTTGAATAAGGCCATGTACTGTAGACATGTACCAACTAAGAGCTAATCAACCTTACATAATACACAAGCACTTTATTAGCTGTTAAATAGTGAGGGGTAAACTAAAGTGTTACATAAACTAGTTCCATTTTCACAAGGTACCATTTTCTCATACATGACGATCAAGCCATGTCATCCTGTCTTCATCGTCTTAGAAAACATGTTATCTTCTGCATAGTTGCTAGCAAGAGCCCTGGGAGTCACTTTCTGACTCTTTGGGCTGAGAGCTGATTGGCTGTGTGAGGGTGGTCCTCTCTTTTTAACTTTTCTGGCTGAAAAAGCTGATCTAAAATACATGCATGTGAAAACTAGTGATAGAATTCTACTATAGAAACATTGATTGTTTTCCCTGGACTGGTGTTGTTTTTCACATTTTTGAAATGATGATTATAATTTATGTTATTTCTGCTTGTTAAACATCTCCTCCTTTCTCCACCTCTCACAGAGAAAACAGCCTGTGTGAAATACAGCCTGTTCCTGTCACAGCTCTCTACAATTAGACGGACAAAACTAAGTGTTTATTTTTACAACATTGAGGAGGAGACCAGAGAGAGACCAGAGAGAGACCAGAGAGAGACCAGAGAGAGACCAGAGAGAGACCAGAGAGAACCAGAGAGAGACCAGAGAGAGACCAGAGAGAGACCAGAGAGAGACCAGAGAGAACCAGAGAGAGACCAAGGAGAGACCAGTGAGACCAGAGAGAGACAAGAGAGAGAGAGAGACCAGCGACAGATCAGAGAGAGACCAGAGAGAGGCAACAGAGTTGGTACAACCAAGCGTCTGAGAAAATGACTGAAATATATAATAGTAAAAATAGCAGCAGATGAAGTGACTTGTGAATTTTCTGATGAGTGACACAGATGGCGCAGAACCATCGCTCACATGTGCTAAGACAAAAGTATATATAAAAACTAATTTTAAACATGTGAGGGGCAGAAATGCAGACATATGTGTCCAAGAGCGGAGAGTGACAATAACAAGAGAACCAAACTGAAAGACTTAAGTGTACTCCAGTACAGTACTATAGTGCCACCTCTGATTGGCTGAAGCTGTTGAAACATGTGAGAGGAGTGGGTTGTTGTGAAGGTGATGTAGAGGAGGCCGTCGTAGAGGAGGGGGTTGGAGGCTGTTCTCAGAGTATTTCAGCTATGCGTATCTGACCGGCTCCAGGACTGGGGTCAGCTCTGTCTTTCATCTTCAACACTGCAGATGTTAAAGAACACCTCTGCTGCAACATCCATGTTCAGCTCTGAAACATATTTACTCTGGAAGGTCAGAGATTGTGAAATGCAGTGGTAAAGTTGTAAAATGAGTTATGGATAAGGCTGCGGTCACAAGCACAACCTAAAGACTAGTTAAAGCGGGCCTAGGCCCAGAACGCCTTCAGATCCGGGCTTTAGGTGCCATGTATCCACTGCAACTGGGCTTGAGCGCGGTTGCTGCTACTGTAGAGACTAGAAGTGACTTAGTAATTTGACTGACAAAGTTACCAAACTCCAGTGCATATTGGAATCTCTAGTCACATAGTCCTGCCCAAAGAAACAATACAAAACCAGGGGTTAAGAAGAAGTCAAGTTACGTCGATGCCAACAGGATCAGGGCTAAAGGAGTAAAAGTTATGGAAACAAAAGTATTGCAGCAGCTGGGGGCCTTTGGTTATATTGGAAACAGTCTCTTGGTCTGTGCTGACGAGGAGGTGGGTCCAGAGTGTGTGTGTGTGTGTGTGTGTGTGTATGCGTGAGTCTGTGTGAGTAAGTGTGTGTATGTGTGTGTGTCCAGCCATCCTCAAGAGACTGATGAACAAGGAGGAGTGGAGGGGGTCCCATGCTCCCCACACAAACCTCACACACAGAGACACATATAAAGCAGCCCCCGCAGGGAGACAGCAGTCAGGAGCTGCTGCCGCTGGACAATCTGAGGATCATAGAATAAACGACCAACAAGTTTCCTGCACAGATGGAAGTCAGAGGAGTTTGAGAGAACTTTAACTTTCCCTTATCAAGGCAAGTTTGCATCTCCAGCCAAAATGGATTTTTCTATTTTGCCCAATACAGACCTCAATCAAACTTTTCCAGATGAGAGATTCTACGTGGGTGAGAGATATTCAGTGTTCAGTATCGCCATGGCGGTCTCGTACCTGCTCGTGTGTGTGGCCGGTCTGGCTGGGAACATTCTGGTCGTCATTGCTCTACTGAAACTCGACAAACTCTCCTCGTCCACCACAGTGTATATCTGTAACTTAGCTGTAGCTGACGGGCTCTTCATGGTCGGACTCCCCTTTATCGCGAGCCAAAACTTTCAGAACATGTGGATTTTCGGGGACGTCGCCTGCAAAGTTGTGATGGTTCTGGACGGACTCAACCAGTTTACCAGCGTCTTCTGCCTCACCGTGATGAGCCTGGACCGCTACATGGCGCTGTCCGACCCTTTGAGGTTTGCGCGTTGGAGGACACCGCGTTTTGCCATGGCGGTTTCGGCGATTCTGTGGCTGTTCTCGCTGCTGACCATCCTCCCCATGGCGCTGCACTTCTCGGCAGAGCAGGGGCTGTGCGTGCCGGGCCTTGCCTCAGACTCTTGGTTTCTCAGTGTGATCTCCTACACTTTCGCTCTTGGATTCGCCTTACCGTTTATGGTCATGACTGCTTCTTACACCGCGGTGATCTGCACACTCAGAAGTCTCCGGAACAGGGACCTCCAGAGCCAGGGCTGCGAGCGGCAGGTGACCAAGATGGTGGTGGCGGTGGTGGTCGTGTTCGGCGTCTGCTGGTTACCGTTCTATACGTTTAACTTCTGCTCGCTGTTTCAAGAAGGACTGGTGCAGGACTTTGCCAGAGCGTTCGAGGTGGTGGTTCTGTTGTCGTACTCCTGGAGCTGTGCCAACCCCATCCTCTACGCCTGCCTCTCCGATACCTTCAGACGCCACTTTCGGCTTCTCCTGTGTCCGGCTCAGAAGTCATCTCCCACAATGCACTGCGACACGGAACACTGTGACATCAACGACACTTGCTTACTGGACGTCACTATGATGGCATAGACCGCTTTTTACAGAGGAACTAAGTCTACCCAAACTATAGGAGAACTTCTGTTGTAATTATTGTATTTGTATATATCATTTGGCGACATGTTTTAATGTATTGAGCATGGGAAAAAGGAAAGGCAAGTTTGTTTGTATGGCACAGTTCATACACAAGGCAATTCAAAGTGCTAAAAACAGAACTGTTTGTAACCTGGATTTTAACATTGTCAGGGAAGAAGCCTGTCTTACATTTTCAGGAAGACTGTTCCTAATTGTTGCATAAATCTGAAACGCTGCCTCCACCTTTAGTCCTGACTCTGGGACCAGCAGGAGGCCCTGTGCTCCTCAGGGAGACAAAATCTAAGGAAAACTATGGTCAGAGCAAGTGCAGCGAACAGTGATGTATGGAATGTATGGACATAAAGGGAGCTTTAATACCTGTGATCATGATTTATTTTCATACTAAAAATGGATTTGCAAAATCAATACCAAAGGGTTTAATATTCACTAGAATTTCCATGAAGAATTTTGTGTTTGTCATATAAAGTTATTTGAACTGCACCTAAACATACAATATAAATATGTTATTATTATTACAAGGAGAGAAATGCACACAAATTACAAAACTCATAGATAACAACACACTACCAGTGTGCTTTTGGGGAGCACATACCCCGCTAAGAGCTCATATCATCCAGAAAATCTTGATTTTGATCTCAAAAGAAAATCAAAATCAAATGAATGTGGCTTTAAATGGTTGATTTGTTCAGAGAAAAAATACATGGTTTAATTAGCATGGAAGCTAGCCAAGCTAACAGCATGGAAGCTAGCGGACGAAGCTAACAGGGTTTGGTATTATTTGTAAGAGAATCTTGGCTTGAAACCTCAGCAGCGGTGATGTGCTACTTGCTCAAAGAGAATGTTAACTCAAAAAAGTATTTATGCAGTATTTGTGCCACTCATTCTAATCCGTGTTTAAAGGTGGGGAACCTGACTTTCTCCTTGTTAATAATATTAGTTTTAAAAATGTATGTTACAAGAGTCTTGTAAAAGGAAAATGTTGTGAACCAATCAGACAACAACAGATTACTTTCATCAGAAAAAGGTTTTTTCCCTTTTCTGAATAAAGTTGATCTAAAAATGTGACAAATGTTCCAGAGGCAGGAGTTAGATCAGGGGTCTCCAACCTGTGGCTTGGGATATACATGTACCATCCCTTTAACGTAGAATGTAACGTATATAACGTAATATAACGTAATGATTCACTTTTGAGTGATTACAGATCCATTTTAACTATAAATCTTTCATTAATGAACGGATACTGTGCAGTATAATGGTATATTGTGTTCTTTTTGATTGACTGTAGTATTATACAGACGACATTGTATTACGACTGCTAAGCTCGCTGCAAATTCTGTTTTTATAAAAATAGCTCTCCAAATGAAAAAAGTTGGATGGATTTTTGTTGTTTGTGGTTTGAAAGTCAGGTACCCCAGCTTTATCTGTATGCAAGCACTTGGAGGACAATCTCATATTGTATACTAGAAGAGGATCTATTGAATATGTTTCACATGTGTTATTGTATTTTACTGTACAGACATTTCCAATAAAAAAAACTAACATTTACATGTTTTATGTATAAGTAAGTCATCTTTATTTATATAGATGTGTTGAACTCAGCTGCTGGTGTGTGGGGGGCCACGTAGCGTTCAACCTTGGATGTTGTTGAAAACCGAGCAATCCGCTGTTTTCTGGGGGTACATGAGTTTGTTCCTGTTTTGGCAGCACGTGGGGACATGGGCTGGGTTCCTGGTACAGTTCAAAGGAAATGTGAAATGGTTAGGTTATGGAATAGAATAATGAGTAAAGCTATGTCCCCCTGGGCTGCTGAGGTTTGTGCTGTATTTGCTGAGGTACATCTCCAGTATGTATTTCATAATAATCTGTCTACATTTGAAGAAGGATTCTGGCAAAACCAAAGTTAAGAACAGACAAATGAAGGACTTATTTGAAGCAGAACTCTATGTTAAAGAAAATCTGAGAAGAAATCAAAGATCTCTGCTTGCTCAGTTGCGTACTGAGACCCTCCCCCTTGCCTTAGAAACAGGAAGGTTTACTCAGACTCCCGAAGAAGACCCACTTTGTAAACTTTGTGATTTAGGAGAGGTGAAAAGTGAAACACATTTTGTTTTGTATGACAATCTTCTGTTTAGTAGTCTGTTTGTTAAAAAGCTTGAATTGTTTTGGAGCAGTGATGATGAAAAGCTGAAATGTGTGTTTAATTCCAATGTGTCGAAATTGGCTACTTATGTTGGTAAAGCCTGGAAGCGCTGGCAATCCTGTATGTTCATTTAAGTTATATATTTTATCCTGTCAATCATCTGATCCTGTACTTTATATTGGTGTCTTATAAGCCCATGGAGGGCTGGGAATGCAGTTGTATACAAGACACAATAATAAATTAATATTCATATTCAATATTCATACAGTATATAGCACATTTCACCAACCAGAGTCACAAAGACCTTTTACAACCATTGTGGGCATTTGTCTCTCACTCTGCTGCTTCTGAGAATGTCTGTTCCATTCCGCAGATCTCCAAACAACACTCAGTTCAATGGAGAATGATTGAAGTACTGCATTCATGTTTACATTCAACATAACACTGTTTCCGTTTTCCGTTTTTTTAAAGAAAAATGTGCAGCCTTACTTTTATGATAAGGTTTAATAATGGACCTGATCCACAACCATCACAGAAGTCTGTTGAGAATTGGGGGATGGAGACTATGGGCTATATGCACGCACCACTTCCGCGTTTTAGTAGCCCCACTCGACTTCCGGTGCGCAGGGATCGGCTTGAGTTCAGCAAATGTTTACACAAGTTTCCTAAATAATGCTCAAACTGGAATTAAACTGTGAGGATACCGGGAATTTTTGGGACACGGCTGTGCTTTTTGATTGTGCTGTCATTGTGTTTTTATAAAGTTAACTAATCTCTCTTGAGTGGCCACAGTCAAAGCTATTCCTCAGAGAGAAAGCACGTCGACACTTTTGGGTCAGTCTCACAGCTGAATGTATCTAATTTTAAAAAAAAAACTCCACTACAACTCACCAGAAAGCCATAGCGAGAGCATAGACAGGAAGTAAACGGGCTGTTTTTTTGTTAACAGGAAATGACGTCACGCCTCCCCATGCATATAGCCAATTGAGAACTGGGGGATGGAGACTTCTGCTCAGGGTCAGATGAGGAGGTTCTGTTGTCAAACACTGGGAGGTGCTCCTGTGACCTCATGGTTCCTCTCGGTTCTCCAGATGAGTCCCGACCTTGGCTCACAGGTCATTCTGTACTAACAGGTGTGACACATTTAGTATTGTTAACCGGGTTGCACCGCCCTCTAGAGGTCAGGAGGGATTCATAGAACATAGGTTTACATACATAACTTTTATACCAATCAGAAACAGTCTGTGAGAAAATCTGGGGAAAAAGGTAAAATGACTGGGAGTGAGTCTCAGGGTTTATCAAACAAATGAAACACAAACAAACACAAAAACCCACTGAAGCCATTGAGAGGGACAACAGTGAGTTAACACAGCGGTTTCAATACGTCCTCTGTTCTTGAACAGTGATCTAAACAAACATGTTCACAAACAAAACAGAAAATGGTTAACTGCATGAACTGCACCAAACGCTACAGAAATACTTTCTCTTTTTCTAAAACCAGACGTAAACAAAGATGTGTGACGCAGGCTCCGGCTGCTTCAGTGACGCCTGCTCTAAGTGTTCTCATCGTTCTTCTGTCTTTAACTGTGGCTTTTCTTGGCTAAGTGCGGCGTGCACCAAGAAGTTTCTACAAAAAGAAATAAAACACACATCACCCCAAACGACACCACGTTCACACACGCCCTCACTGTAACCATGACAACAGTGGATCCAGGGCCGTGATTGGCCGGTTATCACTGTGTGTTAGAAACACATGCCAATGTAGTTAAACAGCTAAACTTATAATAATAACACTTTTCTGGACTCTCAAATCTCTGCACATGTGATCATTCTTTCACTCCAAACACAGTGGTGATCACCACTGCTCTTGAATTTCTCAATTGTGAGATCAAAAAAGTATATCCATCTATCTGTAACCACAATTGCCACACTGAAAGAAGCAAGGTAACCAGTCTGTGCCATCGGCCCCTTCCACCACCACCAACTATTCACACATACGCACCAGACACATTCTTATGTGGGTGAAATGTCTTGCCTGAGGACAAAACCACAATTTGGCACTTTACAGCCACAGCCGTCCCTCTGTGGCACCTGGTGTTCCCAGAGGTCTCCCATCACAGTGCTATCCAGGCCCTGCCCTGCTCAGCTTCAGAGGTCTGAGATATTTGGTTTTTACCTGCACGTGAAATCTGACATCTCTACATTTGTGTGAAAAGCTCGACTTAAATTACAGAAACAGAAATACATCTGTTTTGTAAAAGGAAAAATACATTTGGAAATACAAGGTGCTGCTGAACATGTCTAATGCTGTTGTTAACTATCGCTAAAACAGAATTTAAAAACTAATAATACAACAAAACACCTATGAAACACAGATGTTGCTGTCGTAGGTGAAGATTGGAGAAACAACTCTTAAAAAACGGAAACAGTCACATTTTTTATCCGAGTGACTTCTGCTGCCGAGCAACTGATGCACTGCAACCCTAAGTGGGCTAAAATGTAATTGTTCTTAACTCATTGACTGGTTTTTGCTTCTATAACGATAAATAAACATAAACCTGGTGCAGATCAGCGTGTGGCGCGTCCTGCGGCTGATTCTGAAATGTAAATGTTGTTGCTTTTTAATCACTGAGCTGTCAATCACTGCCATGAAACTGAACCAATGAAAGTCAAAGATTAGCGCCACTTTGATCGTACCACACCATAGTACAAATTACATTTCCTACTAAGGTCTGGAGGTGATCCATTGAGCTCTGTTTACAGGTGGGAGGGGTTAACTCCTTTTGCAGATTGAAACGATTGGATCTGAGTTTACTGTGACGTATATAATGCGCCCGAGTGAGTCCTTAACATTTAGCATGTAGCCTAGCCATCTCCTTTGCCGATAACGGAGCCCGTGGGGAGTAGCGCCACAATCTTTGCCAGCAATTTCTTTTTCTAAACATTCCTCTTTCTCCGGCTTCAATTTCTTGATAGAACCAGACTGGATCACTTTACTATCGCATTTTGACAACCTGCTGGTTCGGTGCAAACTCTTGTCGTTACTCACAACTACCTACAACACCCGCTTCCCGCGCTCGTAATCACAAACACAGGGACCAGACCCAGACGTTACATGCAGAGAAATGATGATTGAGCGGAGTGTACGGATGGCTATGGCCAGGCTAGTTAGAAACACTAACCATCTAGAGTCTAGATGAACTAATGCAGATAAACAGAAAGTGAATGAATAGAATTCATAAAGATTGAAATACTTCTTTGTTTTTTATTAATATTTTATGGATATAACAAAACATTATGACAGATTGATATTCTGTCAGATGATGAAGGAAACAAAGTTTCTGGTTAATTTTTCATAACTCACCTCAACATTTTTATCAATCCTTATTCCCAAATGAAGAATAGTACATAAAAAGTGAAAGGTTCTACGTGTCACTGCTTACAAACAGCGAAGAAGTCACAGAGTCTGGGTTAGGCTGAAAGTCTGCGCTGGTTTGAGGTTATGTCATTTATCTTTGTTCATGATTCAATAAAATGTATATTCTTTGTTTATTGCATATTACTGCAAATACTTTGTCAGTTTGTCTTGTGTGGGCTGTGTAGGAATGTAGTTTCTTACTATAAAAAAAAAAAACATTCACTGGATTGGAAGCAACTTTCTGTCACTTCCAGTTGTAAAGTTCAAAGAAACGACAAAATCTTTCAATATTTCACTGTGTGTCATGTCTTCTCACACAAATAAAACAGACCTCAAACACAAAGACACAGAGACCTCACATGTAACACAAAGACACACAGATACACAAATGTTACATATTCAGTGTTTCAGCAGAAAAGATTTCAAGTAAAGCTTCTGCTTTCTGAATGTCAGAATCTACAATAACCTGATAAGCAGTTTATCAGCAGGTTTTAACAATAACTTTGATAGTGTAGTGTGAGGACACCAGGTGAGGACACCTGAAGTGAAAAGCACATATGCAGTGGGACTTGCAGTTGCGGCTATAGAACAATTGTATAAATTGCACTAAAAGTCGTGTTCATTTGAACTTTTATATTCTGAATGCTTTACCACCGTTGCTACTGCTGCTCTTCTTCTCATCCAATCAGCTCGTAGAGAAGGCGGGGCTTGGCTGTCACAGAGACACGTCATTGGACACGTGGACCTGGAAGTAGGAAGTAAACAGACCGCCCGGCGCCGTTGGAAACAAGTGAGTGAAATGACAAACTGTGTTTGGTCAAAGCCAACAAACAGCTGTAACCGTGGAATAAGACACGTCCGAGCGGAACAAGGCGAGTTTATGAGCTCGTTTTTCAATGTTTGACCTGAAATGTAAAGTGTTTAATGCGTCTTTACCTCCGTTAGCTTCATATGTTCCTTCACTGACAGGTCTGTGCACTCTTCTCTTTATAACCAGCTGTCACAAGGGCAAAACACAGCAACAGTCATACCGCGCAAATACGTCTCAATTTAATAAGTTATATAAACTGCAATACCCTTTATATGAACTTTGATAAATCATACCACTAGTACCATAACTTGTACCCATTCCCCTGTTCCTTTGGACCCGAGGAAGCACCGAGTTCCCTGTTGAATTCAATAAAAGGCTATAAACCTGTGTATAGCTGTTAATGAGGACTGCATGGTAACAATTAACTTCACAGGTGTTTCAAATTATTCATACATTTGAATTGTCTTTGCTAACAATGTTTTTTAGGACATATTGCGTCCAAATTAAACGTTAAGTGACGAAAAAGGCAAAACGTTTTCAATGAAAGTCGGTGTTGTTGTGACTTCATTATGCCCTCTGCCCAAGAGGTAAAGAAATCAACAGCGTCTGTGTGTGTCTGTCGTACAGTGGGGCAAAAAAAGTATTTAGTCAGCCACCAATTGTGCAAGTTCTCCCAAAGATGAGGGAGGCCTGTAATTTTTATCATTGGTATACCTTAAATGAGAGACAGAATGAGAACACAAAATAAAGAAATCACATTATCCAATTTTTAAATAATTTATTTGCAAATTATGGTGTAAAATAAATATTTGGTCACTAACAAAAGTTCATCTCAATACTGTGTTATTGTTGCCAATGACAGAGCTCAAATGTCTTCACAAGGTTTTCACATAGAATAGGCCAAAATACCAGCAACTATCATGCCGCGACAGCCCCATGGGAACACAAACTTAATTTTCTATGGGGTTGATATCTGGAGACTGGCAAGGCCACTCCAGGACCTTGAAAGCCTTTGCGAAAAACAGCCTCAAAGCATTTTATTTATTTATTTATTTATTTATTTGGAGGATAAGCCCCTAGAGATGAAACATCTCGTTTTCGAGGGGGTCCTCAAAATTGCACAAAATGACAGATGCAGTAAGGCAGACAGTAGAGCAAACAATATAACAAAATTCATAAAAAATAATACAAACGCAAAGACAAAGGACACATAAAAACACACTCTCACACACACACACACACACACACACACACACACACTGATTGTTTCTGATATAACGTCTGTTATAAATTAACAGAGATTACAGCTAGTATCCATAGTAGTACATATCACTGAATATAATGTAGGTGCATATGCTCAATAACATTGGCATGGGTTCTGGAGGTATTGGACCAAAGCATTCTTAAACAGAGGCAGAGAAGTGAGAGCGCGGATGGATGAAGGTAAACTGTTCCAGTCGGAAGGAGCTTTAAATTTGAACGAATGTTTTCCTACTTCTTTCTTAACTCTTGGGACAACAAAGAAACATTGGTTTGCATGGCGCAAACTGTAAGTGGATCGCAGAGGAGTCAAATACAGTACAGAAGACAGTGGTGGGTCCTAAAGGGACAGCAGAGAATGAACCTGCACAGGCTGTTGTATGTGACATTCAGAGGCTGGAGGATGGAGGCTGAAGTGTTCTGATAAATGATGTCACTGTAATCAAGAATAGGAAGGATCAACTGTGAAATAATTCTTTTCCTAACTGAAAAACTGAAGCAATTAATTGAATGATAAAGTAATTTTAGACGATATGAAATTTAGTTTGAGATTGTCTGTATGTGTTTGTTAAAGGAGAGTGAGGTGTCAAGCCATAAACCAAGGTATTTAAACTGATCAACAATTGGGAGTGGTGACTTGTCTAAAAACAGAAGATTAATTTCATTTGTAGAAATGGGACGAACTCGTTTCTGGAACAACATAAAATTGGATTTGGATTTATTGAGTAAAAGTTTGTTTGATTGTAGCCAGAGTTGAACTGAATTGAAATCAACTTGAGAATTTTGAATGTCTGTAATATTTGATTTAGAGCAATAAATTACTGTGTCATCAGCGTAAAGTTGTACATTACAGTCGTTGCATGTGAGAGGCAGATCATTTATAAAAATGGAAAATAATAGTGGCCCAAGTGAAGAGCCTTTACTAGCATGATGTTTTGGGTGAGAGGGTAGAGAGGGTTGGGCTAAAATAAGCATAATGCTTCATCCAACCCCTTTTCAAACCTTGAACATATGTGTCTGAACATTTGTAAAATGTGTTTCCTGTGTAGGTTTTGAAATAAATAATTCAATTCAATTCAATTCATTTCCAGCCCCATGTTTCACAGTAGAAGAGATAACATAAGATGTGCTTTATTGGCTCACAAAGGAGAAATTTACATGTCACATTTGGCATGGATAGAGACACTCAGATTGTGCAAAAGAAATGTGCAAACATGTTACATGCAGAATAATTATGTACAACAACAAAAAAAGTGTCAAGTGTCAATTGGAAACAGTGTCAATAGTAGTGCAGGTTTTCACACAGTGACCATTTAAAGTGACTTATTGTACAGTCTGACAGCGGTGGGGATAAAGGCCCTGCGGTAGCGCTCCTTCCTACACTGAGGGTGTCTCAGTCTTCCACTGAAGGAGCTCCTCAGCTCCTCTACAGTCCTGTGCAGTGGGTGGGATGAACACCAGATATGGTGTTCATTTGGATGCAACTCAGCATTTTTTCTCCCCCAAACACGATGAGTTGACTTTTTACCAAAAAGTTCTATTTTGGTTTCTCCAATTCCTCTTCTGGATCATCCAAATGCTCTCTAGCAAACTTCAGACGAGCCTTGACATGTACTGGCTTAAGCAGGGGGACAAATCTGGCACTGCAGGATTTGAGTCCCTGGCAGCGTACTGTGTTACTATTGATAGCCTTTGTTACTTTGGCCCCAGCTCTCTGCAGGTCATTCACTAGGTCCCCCCTGTGTGGTTTTGGGATTTTTGCTCATTGTTCTTTTGATCATTTTGACCCCACGGGATGAGATCTTGCATGGAGCCCCAGATCAAGTAATTAACAGTGGTCTTGTATGTCCTCCATTTTCTAATAATTGCTACCACAGTTGATTTCTTCACACTAAGCTGCTTACCTGTTGTAGATTCAGTCTTCCCAGCCTGGTGCGAGTCTACAATTTTGTTTCTGGTGTCATTTGACAGCTGTTTGGTCTTGGCCATAGTGGAGTTTGGAGTCTGACTGTATGAGGTTGTGGACAGGTGTCTTTCGGACTGATAACGAGTTCAAACAGGTGCCATTTATACAGGTAAAGAGTGGAGGACAGAGGAGCCTCTCAAAGAAGGAGTTACAGGTCTGTGAGGGCCAGACAGACAATCTTCTCATATTTTCCACCACAATTTGCAAATACATTCTTTTAAGATCACACAATGGGATTGTCTCATAATGTTTTGGGAAGATTTGAATGAAATATTCATTCAACAATACATTTTAAGTCCTGTAGCAGGTCAGGTGATAAAGAGCCACTTTTACCTTGTATAAATTCATGGTTTGGTTGTCCCAACAAAAGAGTCTTGGGAAAATCCAATTTTGTGGGGATAAAAATCAGACGTGTGTTTTTCCTTTTTGTCTGTGACGGAGGCAACAAAATACATGAAAAGATAGAGCTAAATTGTTTGGTGGTTTGAACTGTTTGTACCTGAGTTTTAATTGGACACAGGGCAAAACTAATATTCATCAGTTTAGAAAAAAGGTGATTAAGTATTTTCACGACTCATGTCATTGATGTCTGTGTGTGTCAGAGACTCCATGTTGATACAAGACGTGATGCTCAGTATCCGTGTGGCTCTTGTCAATAACCACAGGGCACTGCTCAGTAACTCTGGATTGATTGCTGGTTCAATACGGTTAGTGTTTTCCGGAACGGGCGCCATGTTGTGATTTGAGCTCACCGCAGGGGTCTGTTCCTTTGCAGGAGCGGCACGATGCTGGAAGGTTACGGCCCCGTGACCCAGGCGCTGCTGGGGACGCTGTTCACCTGGGCTCTGACCGCCGCCGGAGCTGCCCTTGTCTTTGTCTTCTCTAGTCGACAGGTACGGCACCAATTAATTCCATTTCAATGTATTCTTGTGTCGCCCTAAATCACAACAGTAGTTATCTCAGAGGACTTTTCAAAGCTGTGGATTCTCCATCACAGATCAGAGAATCAGACGGTTCAAACACAGGAAATATAACAAGACGATGTCCATGAATGTTGAGTTTCCTGGATCATCACCACTGTCCATCACAACACACAACACACTCACAACACACAGACAACAACCAGACACAAGGCTGGTGATGGGAGACCTCTGGGAACACCAGGTGCCACAGTCGGGCAGCTGTGGCTGTAAAGTGCCAAACTGGTGGTGTTCTTAGGCAAGACACTTCACCCACATTAGAATGAATCTGGTGTGTGTGTGTGTGTGTGTGTGTGTGTGTGAGTGAATGGTTGGTGGTGGTGGGAGGGGCTGATGACACAGAGTGGTTTCCTCGCTTCTGTCAGTGTGCCCTCGGGCAGCTGTGGCTACAGTAGTAGTTTATCATCACTGTGTTTGAAGTGAATTAATAATGACATGTAAAGCATCTTTGAGAATCCAAAGAAGTGCTGTATAAAACCAATACATTTTTAAAAACACAGAAAACACAGTGTGATCCACGGAGCACAAACTATGTTGTACCAATACTTTTTACAGAACAAATATGATGAACAAGACAAACAGAAAGAGGGAAGATACACCCTCCACACTAAGACAATGTCAATATTCCAGATGCAATACGCAAAGGATCTCAAAAAGGAAGAACCATAAACGGAGTGGAGAAAAGAGAAAACAGACAGCGAGAAGACAGCCATGGTCACTCGTTGTCACTCGTCACTTTAGTCACTCTCCCACGCACCACACATCTCTCACTCCACTGAATCCGACTCTCACCTTTCATAACTTTGAGTCTGCTTTGCAACAAGAGATAAAAAGATTATTTGTTCTCACAATGGGGAAATGTCAGTGTTGCATCAACAGTTACATAACATTAGCACACAACACAAGATAAATGAATAAAAACACTATATTAAAATGAAATACTATTTCTAACCTTAGCAGAATGTTGATAAATGTCCATACATGTTGTAGAAGTGTCCGGGATCATAGTCCTTCTTGTTAGACACTAACTGTCCAACAGACCCTCCTGCATTGGGAAAGAAAAACTCAAAAAAACCCAGTGGGAGAAAAGTGAGAAACCTCAGGGAGAACCACATTGAGAGAGGGATCCGCTCCACACGGACGGGCTATAGATCCAAGGCCACGCAGCGGCCGCAGAACGTGGACAGGTCCAGTGCAGGAGCATCTCCCAGGAAGGTTGGGCAGGGCAAACTGCAGGTGTAGATGAAGGAGGCCAGGTTCAGAGGTCCCCTCGTAGCGCCATGAAACAGACAATGGGACAACGGGTGAATAACAATGAACAGGCTACAGTCAAAATCCTAATATTGCAGACAGATAAAGTAGGAAGGAGGAGAGGATTGTGCTCAAGTTACCATACTTCTCCCAGCAAACTGACTCCCTATGCAAATGCAAGCATTATTATGCTAACTTTAGCATAATAAAAAAGCAAGAATAGAATCTCTAACTTTAGCATAATAAAGAAGCAATTATAAAGTCTTTAACTTTAGCATAATACAGTATAAATCCACAACACTGTGTATTTGTGCACTGAGCCAAAGCAATTTCCAAGTCTGTGACCTCCTGTTACTTACGTGGCAATAAAAATGATTCTGATTCTGATTCTGATATCCTGTATATTCTAGATCAGCAGGGTTGGGCACGTTACTTTGGAAAAGTAATTTGTTATAGTTACTAGTTACTTCTCCCAAAAAGTAACTGAGATACTAACGGAGTTACTCCACAATAAAAGTAACTAGTTACCAGTAAAAGTAACTATTGCGTTACTTTTTAGTTTTGTTCTGGAACATAATGTACACTCGACGTGCGCATTTCTACCTTTAACCTCAGTGAGTCTGAAATAGTGCCAATATTTCCATCTAGAAAAGGCTGTTTTGCTGCTGAAGTCCTGTTCACTCTTCATCTCTCTCTGTAAGCACTAAACACAAACACCCGCCACTGTAAATGTGGAAACACCGGTGAAGCACTGACTTCAGCCCAATCAGATGAACATATATATCATATAAATCAAGTGGACAATTTGTTTGGCTACAGCAAAATATGTTTCATGCCCGCATTGTTTGCTCATAAAAAACGCAAAACTATGAGTTATGGGTCTTACCTTATAAATGACCTGCACAGTCCACTTCAGTTCAGACCAGTTCCGTGTTTGAGTCCAGATAATAGTTTGAGCGTAGATATGTAATCCTCCATTTGGAAATGAGTCCAATGAGTTTTTAAAAGTAAAACAAAACGCGTGTCTCCTCCATAAACTTCTCTGTTTTGCTAGCTGCAACCGGGTGCATCCAATTTCTAAAATCAACCGTCTTACACTTCACCTCTCTTTCTTATCATTCCTATAGTCATTGAAAAATTACCCTTTGTGCATTTTAAATTATCTTATATGTATGTGTTATATGTATGCTCCCCCCTGGACTGCCACCTTAACGTGGCAGACAGCTATGCTGTCTGGGGCTTCATGCCCCTGGTAGGGCCTCCCATGGCAGACAGGTCTCAGGTGACGAGTCAAAGAGCAGTCCAGAAGACACCATGGACAGCACAGATAAGAGATCAGTGACGTCGCCCGACATGGCGCAGCCGGGGCCCCACCCTGGAGCCAGGCCTGGGGTCGGGGCTCGTATGCGAGCGCCTGGTGGCCGGGCCTTAGCCCACGGGGCCCGGCCGGGCTCAGCCCGAATGGACGACGTGGGCAGTCCCTCCTGTGGGCCCACCACCCGCAGAGGGGTCCGTGGTGGCGAAGCGGTGCAGAGAGGACTGGGCAGCGGTCGAAGGAGGAGACCTCGGCGACCCAGTCCGCACACACAACAGCTGGCTCTTGGGACGTGGAACGTCACCTCACTGGGGGGGAAGGAGCCCGAGCTTGTGGGGGAGGTTGAGCGATACCGACTAGAGATAGTCAGCCTCACCTCCACACACAGCCTGGGCTCTGGAACCCAACTCCTTGAGAGGGGTTGGACGCTCCACTTTTCTGGAGTTTCCCGCGGGGAGAGGCGGCGAGCTGGGGTGGCCATTCTCATTGCCCCCCATCTCAGCCGCCACGTGTTGGAGTTCTCCCCGGTGAATGAAAGGGTCGCGTCCCTCCGCCTCCGGGTGGGGGACAAGTCTCTCATTGTTGTGACGGCCTACGGGCCTAACAGCAGTGCAGAGTACCCGGCCTTCTTGGAGTCCTTGGGAGGGGTACTGGACGGTGCACCGCCCGGGGACTCCGTTATTCTCCTGGGGGACTTCAACGCCCATGTGGGAAACGCCAGTGACACTTGGAGAGGGGTGATCGGGAAGAGCGGCCCCCCTGATCTGAACCCGAGCGGTGTTCAGTTGTTGGACTTCTGTGCCAGTCACAGTTTGTCCATCACGAACACCATGTTCGAGCACAAGGGTGTCCACCAGTGCACGTGGCACCAGGACACCCTAGGCCGGAGGTCGATGATCGACTTTGTTGTCGTATCATCTGACCTTCGGCCGCGTGTCTCGGACACTCGGGTAAAGAGAGGGGCGGAGCTGTCAACCGATCATCACCTGGTCGTGAGCTGGATCCGCTGGCAGGGGAAGAAGCCGGTCAGACCTGGCAGACCCAAGCGTATAGTGAGGGTCTGCTGGGAACGTCTCGCTGAGCCCCCTGTCAGATGGACTTTCAACTCACACCTCCGGGAGAGTTTCTCCCAGGTCCCGGCGGAGGAGGGGGACATGGAGTCCGAGTGGACCATGTTCTCTGCCTCAATCGCCGATGCGGCGGCTCGTAGCTGTGGTCGCAAGGTCTCTGGTGCTGGTCCCGGCGGCAACCCCCGAACCCGGTGGTGGACACCGGCAGTAAGGGATGCTGTCAGGCTGAAGAAGGAGTCCTATCGAGCCATGATGGTTCGGGGGACTCCTGAGGCAGCTGTCCAGTACCGGCAGGCCAAGCGTGCCGCGGCCCGGGCTGTTGCAGAGGCAAAAACCCGGGACTGGGAGGAGTTCGGAGAGTCCATGGAGCATGACTATCGGTCGGCCTCGAAGAGAATTCTGGCAAACCATCCGGCGCCTCAGGAGGGGGAAGCAGTTCTTTGCCAACACCATGTACGGTGCGGGTGGAGAGCTGCTGACCTCGACTGGGGATATTGTCGGGCGGTGGAAGGAATACTTTGAGGTTCTCCTCAATCCCCCCGTCACGTCCTCTGTTTCAGAGGCAGAGGCTGAGGATGTTGGGGCGGATACATCCATCTCCCTGGCTGAGGTCACCAAGGTGGTTGGTAGCCTCCATGGTGGCAAGGCTCCGGGTGTGGATGAGATCCGCCCTGATTATCTAAAGTCTCTGGATGTTGTAGGACTGTCTTGGCTGACACGTCTCTGCAACATCGCGTGGCGATCGGGGGCAGTGCCAATGGAGTGGCAGACCGGGGTGGTGGTCCCTCTCTACAAGAAGGGGGACCGGAGGGTGTGTTCCAATTATCGTGAGATCACACTCCTCAGCCTCCCCGGTAAGGTCTACTCCAAGGTAGAGGTAGAGGAGGCTACGGTCGATGGTCGAATCTCGGATCCAGGAGGTGCAGTGTGGTTTTCGTCCCGGTCGCGAAACACTGGACCAGCTCTATACTCTCCATCGGATACTCGAGGGTTCATGGGAGTTCGCCCAACCTGTCCACATGTGCTTTGTGGATTTGGAGAAGGCGTTCGACTGTGTTCCCCGGGGTGTCCTTTGGGGGGTTCTCCGGGAGTACAGGGTCGGAGGTCCTCTGCTGAGGGCCGTCTGATCCCTGTATGACCGGAGCCAGAGCTGTGTTCGCATTGCCGGCAGTAAGTCAGACCTGTTGCCGGTGAATGTTGGCCTCCGACAGGGCTGCCCTTTGTAGGCCTGTCGCGATAGTCAATAAATCAATTAATCGCACGATAAATAAAATTTGCTCAATAACTTTTCTGGCCGCGATAAATCCCATTTGCATGCTTGTTTGTTTCCCCCGTCTCTCTCGTCAGAGAGCCGCAAAGTGGTCACAGGAACACTAGCGATCTAGCAAGCAGACGGAAATTACTCAAAAATACAAAATACAGCCAAAACAGGACCTAAACCAGGACTTAACCAGGATTGACAATGGGGGACACAGTAGTTGTGAACATATGCCGGCAGCTGAGTTCTCATTCAGGCTTGATTAGTGACTATACTAGCGCAGCTAGCGTTAGCGTGTTCGCCGATGCAGAAGTACCGTACCATACCAATAAAATAAACTTATGGCGCACCTCCGTGAACACATACTGCTGTTATATAAAGTCTCTAGAAGGTCTCTGAACACAGAGATGCTGCAGATTTGCATTCTTGGAGTAGAACTTTACACAAAAAACCCGCTAGCTTAGCTGTTAGCATCAAAGCCCGCCCCGCTACTTCCGGTGGGCGCTACCGCAGCAGGACTTCTGTACGCCCCATTGGTGAACCCACATGTCAGTCACTTGTCATTCGCCTGGTGTGTGGGGAGGTGGGACTACTCCTGAGAGATCCTGTCTTAAGCCACACAAAGTCAACATGTTGGTATTTCTTCTCTCTGGGAAATTATTGACATTTGAGGCATCTGTTTCATATTTTCTTTACCAAGGTCCTGGCAGTTTTATTCCTGGTCCTTTTTTGTTAAGAGACTGAGTCTATTTTATTTATTGTTTTTGGTTGTTTGTTAATTTATTGTGTTCTAGCGTTAAATATTCGTTAAAAATAAAAGTTTATTTCTCTTTGAAAAGGTGTACCTGCATTATCATTGTAATCGATGCAAATGATCTCAGAACGACAATATAATCGCTTATCGCAATAATTTCTGAGACAATTAATCGTCCAGCAAAATTTGTTATCGTGACAGGCCTAGCCCTTTGTCACCGGTTCTGTTCACTGTATTTATGGACAGAATATCTAGGCGCAGCCAGGGGTCGGAGGGGGTCCGGTTCGGAGACCACAGGATTTCATCTCTGCTGTTTGCGGACGATGTTGTCCTGTTGGCTCCAACGAACCAGGACCTGCAGCATGCACTGGGGCGGTTTGCAGCCGAGTGTGAAGCGGCTGGGATGAGAATCAGCACCTCCAAATCCGAGGCCATGGTGCTCGACCGGAAAAAGGTGCCTTGCCCTCTGCAGGTGGGTGGAGAGGTCCTTCCTCAAGTGGAGGAGTTCAAGTATCTCGGGGTCTTGTTCACGAGTGAGGGAAGAATGGAGCGTGAGATTGACAGGCGGATCGGTGCAGCGTGCGCAGTGATGCGGTCGCTGTATCGGACCGTTGTGGTGAAGAGGGAGCTGAGCCGAAAGGCAAAGCTCTCGATTTACCGGTCAATCTTCGTTCCCTCCCTCACCTATGGTCATGAGCTTTGGGTAATGACCGAAAGAACGAGATCGCGGATACAAGCGGTCGAAATGAGCTTCCTCCGCAGAGTGGCTGGGCGCTCCCTTAGAGATAGGGTGAGGAGCTCAGTCACACGGGAGGAGCTCGGAGTAGAGCCGCTGCTTCTCCACGTCGAGAGGAACCAGTTGAGGTGGCTCTGGCATCTGTTCCGGATGCCTCCTGGACGCCTCCCTGGGGAGGTGTTCCGGGCACGTCCCACCGGGAGGAGGCCCCGGGGAAGACCCAGGACACGCTGGAGGGACTATGTCTCTCAGCTGGCCTGGGAACGCCTTGGGGTCCCCCTGGACGAGCTGGAGGAAGTGTGTGTGGATAGGGAAGTCTGGGCGTCTCTGCTTAGACTGCTGCCCCCGCAACCCGGCAACGGATAAAGCGGAAGAAAATGGATGGATGGATGGATGGTGTTATATGTATGTTAGCCAAACCTGATGCTGTCCTTAGCAGATAAACCAGGAGGAGAAAGGAGCTTATCGATGGAATTGTATGCAGCCGACTTCTGCGCTTACATGCGCTCCTCTGAGGCTGGCCTCACGGTGATACAAGCCGTGGTTGAGCGCGATTAAGACCCATATTGGTTCCAAAAACACAATTTATGAGCCATCCTCTCAACTGTAGACATGTAGATTGTAAAGGAAATATGTTTTACATCAGCCAACTATTGCTGAGAGGTTTTCTCATCCTCCCTTCTCTCATGACAACACGCGCACAAGTCCTATCACGAAGTAAAAAGAGAAGTTCATTGTGCGTCTTGAGTAACGCGCAGTAACGGGATGTCGGAAATGATAACGGCGTTATAGTTAGTCAAAGTAATTAGTTAGATTACTCTAACTAAGTAATCTAAATCTAATCTAAAAGTTGCAGCATGCATGAGGAGACACAGTGACAGTGACACGTGTGGTTCTATATTGCACATTCTGACATGACTCCAGACTGTTCAATGACATGATCAGGTGGTCAGTGTTTGTTAGTCCTGATTGTTCCAGCATCTTGTTTCGATTGACTTTGGATTGTTCACACTCCTGTTCACACAGGATCTTGCCGTGTTCCTCTCTCTGTTTGAGGCTTTAAGATAGTTTTTTCCCTTCTCTCTTTCAGAAACGCATCCTGGACGGAAGTTTAGGATTTGCAGCTGGGGTGAGTCAATGTTTTTATCAGTATTTTCTCTATTTTATTTGGATTTCTAAAGCAGTGGTCTCCAATCACTAAAGTGTTCCGGTCACACTTTAGTTTAGCCCTCACTAATTAACAGCTAATTAAATGCTTTTTAGTGTATAATTTATGGTTAATCAGCTCTTAATTGGTGTTTATTAAACACTTAGTACCGGTATTCTTATTCTACATGGCCTTATTTAACATCTAACGAACTACTGACTGACACACTTCGTTTGGGCTGTTTTGCTGTGTATGCAGTTAGACAGAAGAAGTAGCCACTTTTTGCTAATATGCTGCTGTGTTCACAACCCGCGCTGTAGAGGCTAGGACGCAGGCTATTCGCTCCTCATTCTGTGAGTGGAGGAGAACGAGCGTCCCGCTAAGTCTCTACTCAGCACTTTTATATTGTCTAAATTCATACACAAGCTGAATCAATGAAGTTAATTGAAAATCAAATTTTCAATTAAATTATGGATTTTAATACAACTTGTATGTAGTAAAACGCATTTTCATGAACTCATTCGAAAGTAAATCGAGTATAGCTTCTTTAAGCGACCCAAGAATCCTCTCTCTCAGCTGGTCCCATCCCGTTCACATCATCGCAGAATTTATGGACACATCTACTGTTGATGTGATGAGATTACTCGTGTGATATAGGGCGACCTCCACGATTAAATAAGAATTTGTCCACTTTTTTTGGAAAAACCCGACAGTCGATGTCCACTTTTCGCCTTTTTGACAGTCTCTGCTTAAACTGCTGCCCCCGCGACCCGGCAACGGATGAAGCGGAAGAAAATGGATGGATGGATGGATGAATTGAATTTACTGAATTTCTACAATGTGAGATAATAAAGTATCATCTCATCTCATTTTCCCTGTGGGACACAGCGTTCCATACAGTCCTCAGTCTCGTCATGTGGCTGCTCTCGTCTTGCACCTCTGCTCCGTACACGCCGCCAAAAGCAACGCAACAATAGCCCCTCGCCATCGGCACCTGTTTTATTGAATAACACACAGAGTAATGCGAGAGAACGCAGTGGCGGACGCTGACGTCAATGCACACCGCTCTCGGCCAGTTCACTGTTTTGATAATTCATCAGGCGAAACGTTTCTAATAAAAGTCACAATTTACAAGTTTGGAAGCAGACTCCGGCTGCTGGACACAGTTATTCCCATTGTCCCTGCTGCAAATGTAAGAAGGTGTTTAGAGACATAAGCTTTACCAGTGAAAACAGTTGGTTCTGTTACAGTTTTGAAACACATTCAACAGTTGGAGAAATGGCTTTACTTCTTATGTTGTAGAATATATATACTTGGAAATCTTTAATATCTTGTTTCCCAATTTTGAATACGACATACATGACTTTCATGAAAATCAATTGACAAAGGTCTAATGATACTACGGAACAATCTGTGTTGCCAAACTGTTTCTGAAGCAGACCATGTACAAAGAGGTGTAGGTCTTCATGATTTTGTTTTGGAGCAATTTGTTTTAAAAGCATAGACACTTTATTCATCTCACAATGGAGAAATGTACAGAAATGTACAGAAGGCTTTCTTTGCGGAAGCCAGTATAGTGTGGTATGTGGCCATACCTGCAGGTGAAAGCCAGATCCTGTCAGACTTTTGACGCTAAGCAGATCATTTTGTTAGTACTGTGATGGGAGACCTGAGAACAGCATGTGCCACAACATAGCGACTGTAAAGCAGCTGAGTATGGAGTGAAAGAATATCTAGACTGAGGTATAATCCATCATGTAATCTGTGTTTACACGTGAACAGGTTTAAGAGTGAGTTTGTTCTGGACAATAGTGTGGATGTAACGTCAGGCGCTGGGCCAGATGTGGGGGTTACACCTGACACACAGGTGGTTCAGCTCTGGAGTCTGTCTGGTTATTATGAATGTTATACTTGTTGCAGGAGAAAATGCATGAAGAGCTCATATGCTTCTGGGAGGAGACTGTGGATCTAATTTATTAGTCTTTAAAAGGAAATGTTTATGTTTATTTAAAAAAGTATTGCTTTGCTTTAGAAATAAAATTCTATCAGTCGACCCTCTATGGTATCACTAAAGAGAGGGTTTAATGTTTCAATGGGTTTGAAATTCACCAGCTCCAAACTGGGCTACGTGATTGTATCATGCTGTTTCACCTGATAAATTGCCAAAGGAATGTGAAGCAAAATGTGTGTGTGTAATACTTTTGTTTTAAAAGTCTCTTAGTGTGATGTCATAGTGGTACAATGATAGATTTTAGACAGAAGGCGTGGAGTCTTCCGTTTGTGCTAAAGGTCCCTGCTTTAGCAAGGTTTAAGGCTCACACAAGTCACACATGTTGCAGAATATTCTCCTTTAAGTTTGTCTGCAGATGGATGTGTTCTTTCTGCCCTTGTGCTTAAATAAACTAAATCTTATCTCATCCTGTGTCCAATGTTGTATATTTGTTGTGCCTCCTATAGATCTATTCTTTGCTGGCAACGTTTCCCCCAGAATTTGTTTGTTCTTGCCAATTATCCGGACCTTTTGTGGAGAAAAAGTCAATACTTCTGTATAGTTATGATGCAGCTTTCTATAGCGTTCGCATCCAGTACCTTTTCTATTATAACACTACATGTTCTTGAGTCTCACTGTTGTTCTTGAGCTTTTACACAACCTGGCAACGCCATTAGCTTCATGGATACTTTCAGCCCAAACTGTTGTTGGTTTAGTTTCGCTCTGGGATTTATAAAGACTCGCTCTGTTAACGACCCTTGAAATGGCTTTTGCCGTAGTCCCTGTAGTCGCTGTTATATTTTCTAAATTGAGTTTTGTTTGGCCTTTTATTCTCTACAACGATTGAAAAGAAACTTGCCAACAGAAAGTGGTTTAGGAACAGAGTGTTGTAGAGTCTGGTTCTGCCTTTTAGAGAAAGTGGAATGATACAGTGAAGGCTGGAGTGGAGCACGAGCAGTCTGCTTCTAACGATCCTATATTTCGCTTTTCTTAATTTTTCACAGTCAATCCTAAGCGCATGTGATAATAATTTCAGTAACAGCCATTTCTTGCATAGAGGGGATGCCACCTCTATTAAAACTGATGGATCTGTGCTCCTCTGCCCGCCTACCCCCACCCTCACCCTCTTTCAGTGAACAATGCAAACAAAACCTATGCTTGTTTTTATAACATGACATATGTGCAATCATTCAAGCATTATGGAGACTTTCGCAAAGCACAGAGATCAGTCATTTCCAATGTCTGCACAGCAGAAGCAGAGTCATCAGTGATTTAAAAAGGATGGAACCCTAACCCTAACCCTGTATTCATTTTAGGAAGTGAATCATTCCTGATATATTCATCTACTTTATAGCTGGATACTTTATATAAGGGTTAGTAACATGTATTTTGGGGTTGTGTTATTAAATGTTTTGAGACTCTGCTCTTGCTGTGTATATTTTTCATGGACGGTTCATGCTGCATTTAATTTAATTACTCCTCACTGGACATTGAGGGCCTTCCCAATCTCCTAGTCACATTTAGTTTCTAATGCTAGTTCATCTATGCTCGCCTGCTCTGGCTTTGCTCTGGCTTCCCTCTGGCTTCGCTCTGGCTGTGTGCTCCTTCGAACGTGGTGAACTCCTGAGAGAGGAAGTGAGCTGAGCAAAGATCAGACTCCATTAAGACACAGTTCTTGTGGATAAACCCAGGATTACAGGACTAGAAGAAGATTTTGATAAGAATGAAGAATTTCAGTAGAGCTTTATATAGGGCATGGGAAGAATATAGGAATAAGGTGTAAGTAACATGGAAATCATGCTTAAAGACCACACTGTCCGGACACTGATGTCTCTGTGACCATGGGTGACATCTGCAGAGTCTGATTGGTGAAACTGTTGCATCACGAAGCAGCCATAACACTCCCCCATAATATGCAATCTATTGTATTATAAAAGCACAGAAAACCAATTACAGAGTTACTTACGCAAACACAGAAAGACAGCCCTTGTTTCTCTCAACGGCCAAAAACTGGTCAAAAACCAAAACGATCAAACTGAGAGAGCACTCTCCATGGTGCTGAATCCTCACCTGAACCAAGCCTTCTTGGCGTTAAGCCTGATTACCACCTGGGTCATTGTGGCTTGCGGAGAAAGTGCACAGCCACTTGTTGCCTGATACCAAGCACCGGTGTTTCATTCACCTCCACGATTAAATAGTAATAATAATAATAATTGACACCCCTGGTTTAAAGCTACGTGTTTAAAAAATTAGCAACCCTAATTCTTTTTAACAATAATCTGCTTCATTTTTCACAGTTCATGCTAAGCACATGTGTGATGATGATGTGAGTGATACACCATACAACACTCCAAAAACGTGTTAAATTATAGCTATTTATTACATAGAGGTGATGTCCGCGTGCTGACGTGGCCTCACACTGACTTGTTTTCCTCCAAAGCTAACTGTTCTAACACAGTCATTTCAGATCTGAGAATAAACTGTTTCTAACAATGATCGGTCACATGGAACCCTGTGTCCTCGACCTATTCAGTTAAAAGTAGAATACAGCGAGTTAGTACAGTAGCACTGTACTTACAGATCTATTCTCCTCGGTAGCGTCTTTTATTGTGGGAATAAAAGGTTTCGGGATCAGCTTTTGATTAAGTCCAGTTTCATGGTATCTATAGTTCTGGGACAGTCTTTGGTGAAGTGTCTCAGATTTTTTTTACAGGGAGGCAGATCCCTGTAAAAAAAAAAAAAAAAAGCAACATTTGCCTCTTTCTTTGTCATCCGTCCAAACGGTGTCCTCACATATTTACACAAAATAAATGTTTTTCCCAAGTCACATCATCTTAACACTTCGTCGCTGACAAAAGCAGAAAAACTGTATCGTTCCATGTGGTGGAGGCTGGACTCTGAGAAGCAATTTATTATGACTATGATTATTATTATCATTATTATTATTGGACACAAACAACATATTTATTAGATATTGTTTTCCCTGTTTTGT